AGAAAGACAGACAGACAGACAAAGGAAGGAAGGAAGGAAAAAGAAAGGAAGAAAGAAAGAGAAAGGAAGGAAGAAAAGAAGAAAAAAGAAAAAAGGAAGGAAGGAAGCAAAAAGAAAGGAAGGAAGGAAGAAAGAAAGAGGAAGGAAGAAAAAAGGAAGGAAGGAAGGAAGAAAAAGGAAAGGAAGGAAGCAAAAAGAAAGGAAGGAAGAAAGAAAGGAAGGAAGGAAAGAAGGAAGGAAGAAAAAAGGAAGGAAGGAAGGAAGAAAAAAGAAAGAGAGGAGGAAGGAAGAAAGAAGGAGAGGAAGGAAGGAAGAAAGAAAGAGACGAAGGAAGGAAGAAAGAAAGAGACGAAGGAAGGAAGGAAAGAAAGCCTCTCTGTAAGAGGGCTGACGGTCAGGGGTTGGGAATGGAGATAGGAAAACCTCACTAAGGCCTCGTTGGCCTGGGAATTTCCTTCCCACTTGGCAATCTCCACTTGCATAGAACCCCTTGAGAAGAGTTGACCTGCTGGGTCTAGGGAGCCCAGTCAGGCTGTTCTATCACTAAGGGGCCAATCCTCATTGCAGGCATCTCCTTGGAGAACAACACCCTGGTTATTGAACGAGCTAAGAAGGATGATGAAGGCACCTACAAATGCAAAGCCACCAATGAGATAGGACAAGTCAGCACCTCAGCCCTTATTACTGTGGCAGGTGAGTTGGAACCTCTGGCCTGCTAGCTTCACATGGATACACTTAGAATACTGAGCATCAAATGTTAAGCAGGCATGAATGCCTACCTTTGTCTCCTTTTGAAATTGGACTTCTAGTCCAGTGTGGTATAATGAAAAGAGCATAGTAATTTAGGAATAAAATAAAGGAATTTGACTGGATGAATCACAGAATGAATGAGTGAATGAAAAAAAAAAAGTAGGCCCTGCTTTTTTGCTAAGCACTGGAGAATTCAAGAGGGAAACAGTCCCCACTGTTACACTTCTAGGAGAGTTTGTCTGCTGGGTGAATGGAAAGGCCCAGCAGTCCTGAGGGTTCATCAGTAGGGCAGTGGCAATGCCTGGAGCACTAGAGGGTGTAGTCACAGGGAAGATAGTAAGGACTCATGATCTTTCATCTTACCAGAAGAATGATAGGAATTCTATAAATGTTATCATCATCATCATCATCATCATCATCATCATTTTGTTATAGTTAGTGATCCATCAAAACAGTGTTCCCATGGGTTCGGTCACCATCTCTATAGAGATGATTTCTCAATCTGTAGATCCAGCCCTAACCGCTCTTCAGACCTCCAGTCCCACCTCAGCATCTGCCTCTCGGACTCTCCAGCTGGATGTCCCATAGGCATCTCAGACTCAACTTGTGCTATACTGACCTTGACCCTTATCCTTCTTGAAGTACATCTCTGGGGGGAGAGGGGTAGTCTATATTATTCTCATATGACAAAAATCAGTTTTATTTCTGGCTCCATTGATCTTCACCCAAATGTTCTCCACCACATTTCCCAATCTCTGGTTCCTGGATTTTCTCTCCTGAGTACAGTTTTTGAATATACAATACTGCCCTGCCATTTACCTATTCTGTGTCTTTTGAATAAGCTATGCCTATACAGAGCCATATTCCAGTCACAGGTTCTACACCCCACCTCCCCCAAGTTGCAGTAACACCTGTTTGCATTTGCATCTGAAGTTACTCTTGCCCAGGGGTGGGGAACCTGCAGCTTCAAGGCCCATATGGCCTTCTAGGTCCTCGGGTGCAGCCCTTTGACTGAGTCCAAGTTTTACAGAACAAATCTCTTTATTAAGGGGATTTGTTCTGTGAATATTTGAATTCAGTCAAAGGGCCACACTTGAAGACCTAGAGGGGATTTGTTCTGTGAAGTTTGGATTCAGTCAAAGAGCCACACTTGAGGACCTAGAGGGGATTTGTTCTATGAGGTTTGGATTCAATCAAAGGGCTGCACTTGGGGACCTAGAGGGGATTTGTTCTGTGAAGTTTAGATTCAGTCAGAGGGCCACATTTGAGGACCTAGAGGGCCACATGTGGCTTCGAGGCTACAGGTTCCCCACCCCTGCTCTTACCTGTTGCCTAAACTTTGGGCCTTTGGGACCAAGATTGGAGGCCATTCTTGGATTCGGCCTCCTATGAACATCTGGGTACCCTAACCACTATGCTCCTTCTTTCATTATAACTATTGTATCTCCCTTTGGTGGATCTCCATTGGCTGTTTTCTTGCTTCCTTATGCTTTTTAGTTTAAAGCCCCTTTGGTTAGATTTACAAGACACTTGACCTTATACATTCTTACCAGCCTTTTTTAGGGACACTTCATCCCTGCCTGTCATTCCATGTATCTTAAGCTGTGGTCCAGAAATCCGAACTATTTCCTTCCCAAATCAATTTTCCTCTACTTTACCCTTGCCAGCAATGGGTGGCAGTGAGGAAAACACAAGCTGTGTCCACATGGTCTAGTTTCTTGCTCAAGATTTTGTAAGCTTTGGCAGCATTTTTCAGTTCCTTCGGGAAGGATCATTTGTGCCCATCTGAATCATCAGAAGTGAGCAGTACTCATCCATTTGGTTCACTCTTGGGAGGTTCTCTGTTATGTCTTGGATAAAGGTCCCTGGGAGGACAACAGACCTCTCTGTATTGTTAGTAGCAGATCCACCTCAATTCCCTCAAGCAGTGAATACCAGCACTACTCTCTGTCACTCACCTTTACTGAATGATCACTCATCTGATAGCTTCTGTGGCTCATATACCATTCCTTGGAGGATAGACAGCTGCTTTCTCTTAGAGCAACAATCTCTTCCTCTTCAGGAAGGGCCTCAGATTTGTTTCTGAGCCCCAAGTATACACACCTGGTCTTTTCCCTCCCATCATCCTCCATATGACATCTTTCTACTTCTGACCTCTTGACAAGGACCAGGTTTCCTTCCCCTATCTTGTATCCCCCCCCTTTTAAAGGCCAGCTTCCATTTTTAGGGGCACTTCATTGTTCTTGACAACCTGAAGAGCCAAGGATTGTCCCTCTAATCCAGGGGTGGGGAACCTGGGACCTCAAGGCCACACGTGGCCTTCTAGGTCCTTGAGTGTGGCCTTTTGACTGAGTCCAAGTTTTACAGAACAAATCCTTTTATTAAGGGAATTCGTTCTGTGAAGTTTGGATTCAGTCAAAGCACTGCACTTGAGGACCTAGAGGGTCACATGTGGCCTCGAGTCTGCAAGTTCTCTACCCCTGCATCTCTTTGCTTTTTCTTATAGGAAGGAGACAAGTCTACCCCTGGAGTCTAGATAACAGTCACTCATCTATGACAGGAATACAAACATTGTACCACACTGCAAAATTCATCCTGCTCTCCATATCAATTGAGATTTTTAGCCTTGTTTTTTGAAGCTATCTTTGCAGCTTTTTAAGAGTTTACAGACTATTTTAGCACCTCGTAGTCACTTAATAGTTCCACCCAACTTCTTTTTTCCACAACTCACAGCCCATCTCCCTTGTCCCTGGGATTAGTCTTCTCTATTTGACCAATTTGTTTTACCCACCAGTTTACCCTCCTTGCCTTTCCTTGCTCACCTTTCCTTGCCAACTACCTTGTTCTTATCCTTCACTTTAAGTCATTCTCTTCAGGTTATTCCCCCTTACACCTCCTTAGTCCACCTTGATGCCTTTAACTTTCTCTCCCAGAAGCCAGAATCAGAATCTGGGCCTGGACATTATTCTCCTTCAAATATCCTCAATTTCTCCCAAATCTCTCCTCCTCAAGTTGAATCTCCAGCCTTCTTTGTAAGGCTAACCCCTTCCAAATCACAATTTCTTTCTTCTTATTCATCTCCAACACTTCTTTCTTCTCCTGCTCTTTCTCCTATAACCTTCTGTCACAGAAGCTGAAAGTAGAATAATCTCTTACCAGTCCTCTCAAGCTCTTATACGGGCTCTGCTGATAGAATGTAAGCTGCTTGAAGGCAGGGACTACAGTTATCCCTTCCACATCACCACTGTCCCTGTCATGGTTTCGATATATTGCGGGTCGGCATAAGAAATGAAATAGGAATTTTTTGGGAGTTTTGGCAAAAGCTACAGACGGCACATGAAGGCCAACAGACGACACAGAAAAAGTTTAGAAACTCAGAAATGCGTAAAATATATGTATAGTATTGTGTAATATAGATACCCCATAAAAGAAAAAGAAAGAATTCAGACTTCTTTTCTGGTACAAAGGGAGGGTCAAAAAATTTTATGTGGATTTTCCGAATTGCAGGGGCACCATGCCCCTAACCCCCATGATGTGGAAGAGATAACTAATTCATTTATGTCTGTGCTTGGCACTTAGTAAGTGCCTAATAAATATTTGTCTGCTAATTGTTTGATTAATTGACCTCAGCTCTGGTCCTGACTCTTCCCCCAATTAGCTGCATGTCCTTGGGTAAGCCCCTTCCCTTCCTATCTCAGGTCCTCTGTTTTCTCCTCTGTAAAATGAGGAAGTTACACTCTGAGTCCTAAGGTCTCTTGCAGCTTTGAATTCCCTCGCCTTTCGGAACAGACAAGAGAGTTCCTCCCTGAAGCTCCTGCCATCTGTCTCAGAAAGACAAGCCCACACTCAGTAAATATCAACACACTGACACGCACTCACACCCACCCATACACACACATCACACATAGTCACACGCCCAGAGTTTGGTACCTGGGATTGCTGGTAGGCATCTAGCAACATGGTGGCCTTTATAAGGCCGTACATTTTTGTTCCATCTGCTCTAGCCTGAACTCGTGTTTTTTATCCCCTCCTTCTGTCCCTGCTGCCTTGTTGATAGGTTCCGAGGAGCGCTCCAGTGTCGAGGTCATCATCCTTGTGTGTACCGGCTTGGCAGCCACCCTCTTTTGGCTCCTGTTGACCCTGGTCATTCGAAAACTCAGAAAGGTATGAGGGAGGCACTGCCACTTGGGCCTCAGTTTCCTCTTTTGTAGAGTGGGGGAGGGGAAATGGAGTGGGGTGGAGAGGCTGGACTAGATGAACTTTGAGACTCTGTCCAGCTCTAAATTTTACAGTTCTGGGCCCTGGCAACGTAGGAGGACTAGCTTCTTGGCCACTCTGTGGGGCCTTAGGTATTGGCAGGGAGGGGGAAAAGAAGGTTAGGGCTGAAAATTGGATGCCATTTGACCCCTAAGCATAGCCATTGTGACAGCACCCTCCTCACAGCTGGCATGTCTTTCACATTGGATGTTGCCAGAGACCTCCGAAAGGTCTTTGGCAGAAGATAGCATGGAGGGGTCTGCCCTCCGTAGAGGAGGGCACTGCCTGGGAAAGAGAGAGACAGCTGGCCCAAGATCCAAGAAGGCCTGGGTTCAAGTCCTGCCTCAGACACTAGCAGTGTGACCCTGGACAAGTCACTTTACCCTGGTTTGCCTCCTGCCTCCCAGTGCTGCTGTGAGAACCAGATGAGATCATCTTTGTAAAGCATCGTATATATGCTCACTCTTATGACTATTAGCTACTACTCTTGTCCCTCACATATGAGTGTGATGGATGGCTCAAGTCTTTCACCAAGTGGTAAATTATGTTTCTCCTAACTCTTGTTCCCTCCCAAGGACAAGAATGGTTCTTAAGTCCCTTTTGCTGTGCTAAGAACCCCATAGTAGAGGAATTACAGCCAACCATAAAAAGGGTCAGAGCTCAGCCAGTCGTCTCATTTACTGAGCATCATTTTGGGGAGGAAAGAGCATTGGTTTCTCCATCGTGTAAGGGGCCTCAGAAGGCAGACAGTGACTCGCTCAAGCCCTGCCTGGCCAAGAATGCCCTCTCCAACATCGCCAATGATGCCAATGACATCCAGCATCGCCATCAAAATGTCTAGCCTCTCCTTGAAGACAGGAAACTCCCTCCTTCTTGAGGCAGTCCATTCTACTCCAGGACACCTGTTAGGAAGGTGTCGACATCAGCCCATCACTTCTAGTTCCACCCTCTGGAGCCAACTGGAGCAGAGACTAACTGGAGCTAGGAAAGATCTTAGAATACAGAATACCCAAGCTGGGAGGGCTCTTAGAACACAGAATGTCAGAGCTGAGAAAGACCTTAGAATACAGAATACCCAAGCTGGGAGGGCTCTTAGAACACAGACCTTAGAATACAGAATAC